TATTAAGCCCTAGAACCCAAAGTTAGATTTTGCCTAAATCAAACTTCAAACTGAAAGTTTGGAGTTTGGTTTATACTAAAATTTGCAGAATTAGGCTTGGAGTTGGATCTTTAATCATGTAATCTCTCCTCAACATTGAATATTCAAATGGATTTTTGAATGACGTGTTTTTGTTCAATTGAGAGATTTGATGTGTTGGAAACTTGCAAAGGTTGTAGGTTTATTGCTGATTTAGTGTTGATTTGGGTTCAATGATTGTGGATGTTCGGTGTTGAAAATTTTTGGGACGATTTTTTGTACTCGTCATAAGAGATTATCTTACAATAACAAATTCTTCTCCTTTTCTCTTCAACCAAAACTTAATAAACTAGAAGAACATAATATTTTGGTGACTAGCTTCATAAACTTCATTGATAATCTTATTAAGGAGAGAAAGGGGAAGAGAAAGATATTAAGGTTAAAATGAGAAGGATGAATACATAAAATGAGATGGTTTAGTAATTTAATAACAACAAAGAGGTAAAAATATCCTAAAACGGTCACACGACACTCACATGAGAATCTTATAGGGAATATTCCCTCTAAGTAACAGAAGGTACAAACTTGCAACTTCTGAAAACTATAGGGTACTTTCGTATAGCAGAATACAACTAGTGGTATTTAAGTGTAACAAATGAGAAAGTATATAGTATTTAATTAGTAGAGATCCTATCAGAACCAGCCCTATAGAAGTAAGGTGATCTACACCATAAACAGAAGAGCTGTAATTCCCAAACTAACTATTTAACGGTCTATGAATGATATAGACACTATTTTCTTGTATTTAAGTGACTTAAGTGCAGTTTACCCTAATTGAATCAATCATAAAATTATATTCCCTTCACCCTCCATAATAATATAAATATTTCTTAGAACCTTATCCTCAACAAGCCTTCTAGAAGCAAATCTCCCACCTCCAATTTAACTTATCCTAAGATATTTATTCCACCCCTCCATCTCATCACCCAACAAGTGGGCCCCCACAAATCAATGTAACCCATTAATAATGCCCCCTCTTAAACAAATCAACCTCCACATCCATGCACATGCGTATGGGCCCCACATATGCATATACATACATCCCATCCCCACACTCCCACTCCCCCTATAAATGCCCAAATCCCCTTTGGAGCCTTCACTCACAATTTTCATCCGCATTACCGAAAAAAATAAAATAAAAAATAAAACTAGAGAATGGAGAAAATAATCAATATGACTGAACAAGAGCAAGCTCTGATCCCAGGCTTACCAGATGATGTTGCTTTCGATTGCATCTCTCGGGTCCCATACGGATCCCACTCCCAAATCCGACCCGTTTGCAAGAAATGGCGCGATCTCTGTCTCGTCACCTCCCCTTCATTTTCCCGCACCGGGAGCGGATCGGCGCCGCAGAGGACCTCGTCTTCCTCGTCCAAGCCCTAAAAGACGAGAGCAAGTCATCGTCTGCTAAGTCGGTCACGCCGGCGAAACCAAGGCGAGGTCGCCGCCGCCGCCGCCGGTTTACTCCCTCAACCTCTACAACGCTACGATTGCCACGTGGCAGAGGATCGAGACGCCGGAGGCGATCCCGATGTTCTCGCAGTGCGCGATCGCGCGGCCGCCAGCTGGTTCTGGTCGGCGGCTGGGATCCGAAGACCCTGGATCCGGTGGCGGAGACTCGGATCCTCGATCTGGCGACGATGGCGTGGCGAGAAGGGAGGGCCGATGGACGGCGGCGAGGTCGTTCTTCGCCTGCGCCGCTTTTTGGCGCGGAAAGTCTACGTGGCGGGGGCACACGGAGCAAGAACGCGCTGCGGTCGGCGGAGGCTTACGACGTGGCGGCGGACGAGTGGTGCCGAGCTTACCGCCGAATGAGCGAGGAGAGGGACAAGGCGCAGGTGGTGATCCCATGGGGGCTCGAAGTTCACGGCGGTGAAGCGGGTACGGGACCGAGAGCCAGGGAGGTTCAGCCCACGTCAGCGGAGGTCTACCGACGAGGGTGACGGGGCTGGACCACCGTGGAGGGGGTGTGGGGATACGCACGCGTTAGCCTCGTGCTTCGGGCTCGGCGGACGGGGACTGTGGAGCGTGGGCCGGAAGGAGGCCCAGCGGAGTTCAGAGGGCGGGAGGTGGAGGCTGTGGGGCCCGCCGGCGCGCGAGGGGATGCGTCGGGCACGTGCGGGCGGTTGATCGGCGGGGAGGGATAGGGTTTTCGTCTACGGGCGCCGTGAGGGGACCGGGGTGATGGACGGGTGAAGGAAGCAGAAGTTGGCTCCATCTCTCTCTC